TCGCCCGCCGCGGCCTCGCCCTCACCCTCTCCGCCTCCCTCCCCCCCGGCGGCGGCTGCAGCTGCAGCGGCTGCCGCGAAGCCCTCGCCGACCCCCTCGCCGGCCGCCGCGGCTCCCGCACCAGCGGCAAAACCGGCGGCAGCTGCGGCGCCGGCGCCGTCGCCCTCAGTGTCACCAGAGGAGGCCGATTACTACGAGGAGGACACGTCCCCCTCCCCCTCCCCCACGCCCGCGCCCAAGCCGGCGCTGCTGTCCGCCACGTCCGCCCAGCCCCCGGCGGCCCTCAAGGCGGCCGCGCCCGCGCCCGCGCCCGCGCCGGCCGCCGCGGCGCCGGTCCCGGAGGTGCCGCTTATCGGCGCCGCGACGCCGAGCCGGCGCAAGGAGGCCGCATTCGCGCCAAACTCCAACGGCGGCGCGGGCGAGGGCCGGCACCGCGTGTACAGGTTTTACTCGGGGGCGGACGAAATAGAGCTGCCGTAGCCTCGCTGGTCGCGGCATTGGGAACGCGCCAGCCGGTTGCGGCGGGTGTGCTCAGTGAGAAAAGAAACCCCCGGCCAAACACCCGTCGGCGTCGCCAGCACATCTCTGTTGCTCCTGGGCCCGGTTCTTGCGGCGAGGCGCCGCCTCGCCACGCGCGCTGCGTCGTCCGCGCAGGCGCCTGGTCGCGCCGCTGTTGAATGCAGGCTGGTCACCACTCGCTGCCCATTCTTACTACTTGTCCTGCATCGATTTTTCACCCACGCCGCGACGGCCTGGAGTTGGAGCTTTGATATCCGCAAGGCTGCGCCGATCCCAGGCAGCGGCGGCGCCGCTGCGGATGAGGGACGCCGGCGGGCGCATATGCTCGCTTTGTTTCGGTGCTGCAAATGAAGAACAATTGCTGGATCTCTCCCGGCGGTGCATCGTCACTATTAATAAACTCAACGTACTGAGTCGGCCGCGTGTGCCTGTGCTGTGCGCGCAGCTGTAACGAGTTTGTTAGAGGCACGCCCATGCCATGAGCACGCGCGATGCCCCCCACAGACATGCTTCATGGCAACAAGTGTTTGGAATGGCGTGCACCCGCGCGCAGGGCATTTCAGTGTCTGAGAAGAGAGTCGTGGGCGTGATTGCAGGCCGGGGCAGGCGAAGGCGTAATAGAGCTTGAACATGTGTCATCCGGTCAATGACAGCATGACGAGGAAGCGACGCGCGTCGTCAGGCAGGCGCTGGGGCATGGGGTTGGCCGCCAACGGTGACGCATGGACGCATGCTGCGTATCATTTGGGGAGGGAACTGCATATGGTTGCAGGCGAGCCATGGGGTACTTGGTTGCAATAAAATCAAAAGGGATGGAACAGGGGGCTATGGGCTTCAGGTAAGAGCAGATGGCGCCAGCAGAATGCGCGGGAACGCGTGAGGAGGAGTGGAGCGGCGCACGCGACCCGGCTTCCCGGCTGTCTGCAGGTTGCGGCCGGGTCGGATGGACGACTGGCTGCAACGAGGTGT